AGGGGAGCTGTTGCATTGTGGTAAACTGTGGTGAATGTCATGGGAGAAAGTATATATAAACTGCTGTATGGAAAGTGAATTTGCTCTGTAAATCTTCACCCAAATCACAATAAAAAATAAAAATAAATAAATTTTTTTAAAAAATACATGAAGAGAAAAAGTCTAAGTGGTACCATAATCATAACCCAGTTGACATTTTGTTATTAAGGGTCTAAGGAATTTTATTGCATTTTACTTACAGATCATTGTAGAGGTTCATGTATTTGCTGCCTTTTCCTCCCACAGAAGGAATATTCTGCTAATATCTATGTGGTGCTGCTTTTTGTTTTCTTATTTATGAAGTAAAATCTTGAAATGATCTTTAAGTATTTGGAAGTCTTATGCTCATCATATAGAAATTCAAAGCAATCTAATAAATACAAACACAGTATTACCCTTAATTTTGAAGAGTAAAAATAGTAGATGACTCACTACAGGCAGTTCACTTACATGGGAAATATATTTTTGAACAGGTTCAATAGGATTGTGCTTAGTCAACAAAGTTATCGAGATTTTTCTTATTTTCTCTTATTGTTGATAACAGGAAAGTAGTTTAAGTTTTTGTTTTTAGGGAAGAAATGTACTTTTCATGCTGCTGTTTGGGTACTGCTGTAAAGGATGGTTTTAGAAAACTATGCATAACTTTTTAAAATTCTGAATTCAATTCTATAATACTTAAACAGCAAATAATACACTATAAAGATCACCAAGGAGGGATTCGAAAATATATCTGATTTGTATTATGGGCGTAGTTAGAAATCTATTCAGAAATAATCAAGAGTAGTTTTATATTGTCTTCCCTTTATATCAGTCAGGCAAGGTTATTTTTAGGCAACCTCCCTTCCATTCACTGGACAAGAAGTCTGGGACTACAAATGGATTTTAATGATTTTATAATGTAAAACAGGTAGTGGGAAAATTCATGTTCTAAGCTGAAATGTGAGTAAACTTGAAATCAACTTTTTGCTTAAGCTCCTTGAAAAGATCCCTGAAGTGCTGGTGTCTGTTTTCTTGACTTGGTGGAAGGCATTTTTAACATTTAGCTTAGATGGCTGAAACCTTTTAGAAAGGCTTTCTGTTATCATTCTGAGTATCAGTTACCAGTATCAGTTTTCTTGTTCTAAACTATTCGAATACCTTAAAGTTTGTCTAAATTCCTGTTTTTTTATTTTACTTTTATCCTTACTAAATTTCTATTCTTTATTTCATTATCTCCAGATTTCCCTTCTTGCCCTTTTTCCTGAATAACCAGAAGTTAAACATGTTTAAAAATTAATGTTTTAGGTATCCTGTAACATAACAATATTTAAAGTTGTAGTGACTTTTGTATTTAGGATAAAAAAAGACTTTTTTTTTTCATTCACTTTTGATTACTAAAATGAAATGAGTTTCCTATAAAAAATAAGGAGTGCTAGATGATTAAATTTTGGCAAGGGGAAAAAAAACAGTAAAGTTTTTCTTTTAATAAAGATGACTTAGATCCTTACAAGATTTAGGAAAAAAATAAAAACTCACATACTTGTTGAATTTACATTCAAACGTGATCATTGAGGTTTATTTTTTGTTGTTGTAGACAAGCAAATCTGAAAACCTAGCCTAAAGAATTTGTATGCATTATTAAAAGTGCTAGTAATAAAATATGTATTGGTGATGGAGAAGAATCCCAAAGTGCTGAAGATTGACATAACCTTTAACAAAGTGGAGAACTTATTAGAACTGCCAAGTCTAGGTTTAAAAGTATGTGAAAGTACTTTATTGTAACATATTTGGTACAATCTAATTTTTTTGAGTTTAAAATGTCATTTTCCACTAAATGTTTGTAAATAAAATGTTTGAGAATTATTACTCAAGGCAAGGATTTGTACAAATTTAGGGATAATTGGCTTTGGTAAACTCCCTTTTTCGTAATTAGTGTATCTGTGAATCATTTATCCCTTAGCATGTTTTCCAAGTTCTACATAGTAATCTTTAAACTTCAAAAATAACTTCCATGCTCATTTACATGGTTCCAAAAACAGTAAGATACCTCGTAGTTTGAGTTAGATTTTTTTCTTAGGCTACACACTTCAGAGCATCTGCCTAATCCCCACAACATTCTTCTGAATTAAGATAGGAATCAATAATTGTGTTCCTTAAACAGTGAGAAAACTTGAAAAGTTAAGCTCAGACCCAAAGTCACAGAATAACCAAGGTGAAAAATCTGGGTATTCCAACTGCTTTTCTAGTGTACTGCTATTATTTGTATCACCTTGAATAAAATATGAGATTTAAAAATTTATTATGCCATAATGCTGAGTCTCTACTGAGTGAGGATGAATAATGTTAAATTTTAAAAAGAAAAATTATGAACCTGGGTTGAAGTAGTGAAGGGATTAAGTAGTGAGATTTTATATATATATATATATATATATATTTTTTAGACCATTGATGCTCTTAGTGTGAAATAAATTGCCTTACTGTCATTTTATCCTAGACAGCACTGATTAGAAAAAGTACATGAAGAATGCTCTAAAGACCCATGGAACAATGATGAACCATTAAGTTGGCACTAAACTACATCATAATAAAAGTCATACATACTGTATGTTGACGTACACTGAGAATGGTGACAGGAGTTTTTAATAACATATTTTAGAAAATTGTTCATTTTTTGCTAATGTTTATCTGAATAAAAGACCTATAAAACAAGACAAGGAAGCATTGAGCACTGAGTCTTATCATGCCCAGTAGCCAAAGTGAAGCCTTTGTTTTTGCTCCTGTTCATGATGAATGTTAGCAGAGTATTGGCTTTTCAGATGGTGCCAATCCTATGATGAGGCACTTGAAGAGTCTGAAGGTTTGGGCATGTGAAATACGGAGCTGGAAGGAAGCATGCTGCTATTCCATTGGAAGCAAAGGGAAGCGTAGGCCCATAGAATACTTCTTCTTTGCCTTCTCTACTTACATCCAGTACCTACAAGAGAAGAGAAGCCTGTATGTCAAAGATGACTGCTCAGAATACAGCTTGTATAAACATAAAAGGAACCCTGAACAAGCTCCCTTATGTACCATGACCACACTTAGACATTTTTTTTTTCCTCAGTAGGATAGTATCAGAAATACTAACTTCCTCATTTGTATATGTTTGTGTGTGTATACATATGTACATCTCAAACACTCACTACCATGGAGTTGGATCCAACTCATAACAACCCTTCCTTGGGTTTCCAAGGTAGTATGGCTTTGGAAGTAGATTGCTCAGTCTCCCTTCCGAGGAGTGGCTGGAAGTGGGTTTGAACCACCAGCCTTCTGGTTAGCAGTCAGATGCCTTAGGCGCTACGCCACCAGAGCCCCTCATGTACACGTATACATGTTTATTTACAGTCCTTTGATGTTCAGAATAGTGATGAGGTAGACAACATTATTAATAAAACTGCCTGACACTGGTTAGATTATTTACCCAGACTATAAGTAAGTAGTGTCATCATTGTTGACTTACAAATCTCAATCCTACACGTCAATAAAAGACAAGATGAGGCTGTTTTGAGAAGGGCTTGCCAAGGAGTCAACAGGGAATTATATAGGACAGTAAAGGGGAAGCATTAGGTCCTTTTGGGGGTTTGGCAGCACAGGATGCTAGTGGATTTTATTATTTGCTCCCAGAGGTTGTGTGTGTATATATATATATAGTTGTTATGTGCCGTTGAGTCGGACCCGACTCATAGCGACCCCTCCTTGGGTTTCCGAGGCAGTACCACTACGGAAGTAGATTGCCCAACTTTCTTCATATGTGTGTGTGTGTGTGTGCAGAAGGCTGGCGGTTCAAACCCACCAGCCACTCCTCGGAAGGAAGGTTGGGCAATCCTACTTCTGTAGTGATACTGCCTCGGAAACCCGAGGAGGGGTCGCTATGAGTCAGGGCCGACTCGACAGCAAATAACAACAAATAGATATGTATATGTATGTATGTATGTATATGTGTATATATATATGTGTGTGTGTGTATATATATATATATATATATATATATATATGTTTTTCCAGCTTAGCTTCTAAAGCCCAAACCTACATACCCAATTTTGTATTAGCTAAAAGTAAAATCAAACCCACTGCCACTGAGTCAATTCCCACCTAAAGTGACCCATTAGCAAAGAGTAAAACTGCCCCATAGGGCTTCTGCAGAAGCAGACTGCCTCATCTTTCTCCCACAGAGCACCTAGTGGGTTTGAACTGCCAGCTTTTTGTTTGGTAGCCAAGTGCTTTAACCACTGCACCACCAGGGCTCCTTTCTACTAGCTAAACCAGCTACGCTATGCAATGCAATGCAATGCAATGCCATTGAGTCAGATTTGAGTTATAGCGACCCTCCTTGGGTTTCCAAGGCATTATCTCTATGGAAATAGATTGCCCAGCCTTACTTCCAAGCTAGCTCCACCTAAATGTCTTGAGCCTCCCAAATTCAGCATGCCAAAATGGAGTAAAATTATCTTCATTTTTTGTTGTTTTTGTTTTTTAAAGCTCCCTACATGATTCTGATGGGTAGCCAGCAGTTAAAAATTGCTGCTGTGGTCACATTATCATGTTGCCATAATTAGGAGTACAAGACTTTTATCAGTTTTTCCTTTTGAAAGTAAGATATGAAGAATATCTTAAGTTTTTATTAAGTAGTATGGTTATTGTTTGTCTCTAGTTGAACACAATAACTTTACTATGACTTTTTAACCTCATCTCCAACAGACAAGGTATGGTGGGAAGAACACAGCATTAGAATCAAACTGATGACTTTGAATCCCTGTGGTTTAGTATCTTTGTGACTGGAAAATTATTCAACCTCTCTCAACCAATTTTCCCCATTAGTAAAATGAAGGAAACATTGACCTTGCAGCTTTACTGTGAAAATGAGAGACATCTAGTTCAGTGTCTGGCACACAGAATATCACAGCACAGCTTAGTAGTAGGTTCCACATTAGTTCAATTGATTCTGGGAATTTTTCCTGTTACTTCTCTCTGCAAGCTGGAGTTCCATCTCTTTCTTTATATGGCACAGCTTCTCTGGTAGTCTGTGCTTGCTGTCACCTCACTGAATCTGTCTTAATCATTACTATTAGGAAAATTTTTTTCTTGAGGAAAACTGCCCATAACCTATTTGCCAAACCCATCAGACTTTAGCCCTAAATCATCATCATCTCTCTTCATTTGGCCTTCCTCCAACACCATTTTAAACCATTCCTTTCTTGAATTTCATGGTCTTTTTTTAAAGGCTATTGATGGCTATCTACCTTTGGTCTCTCCTCTACCTGCATCCTAGATGTATGTGTGCACCAGTGTTTCAACCATAGACTTCTTGATACTCTTCAATAATCTTGTCCATTCTCATGTCCTCCTGTCACCTATGTGTTTAACTCTTAAATCTTTAAATGCAATAAATAATGCATTACTTTAGGTTAAAGAGACCCTCAAGATTTAGGATCCAAGCTCATAAAGGAGGAAAATCACCAAGGTCTAGAATAGAAGAAAGGTCAAGTTTTTGGTTTTTCCAAATAGACTTTTAGCTGTCCCAAACCATTTACTGAGCAATATACTCTATTACTGGGAGCTCTGGTGGCATAGAACCTAAGGCACTTGACTGCTAACCAGAAGGCTGGCGGTTCAATCCCACCAGCCACTCCTCGGAAGGAAGATGGGGCAATCTACTTCCGTAGTGATACTGCCTCGGAAACCCAAGGAGGGGTCTCTATGAGTTGGGTCCGACTCGACGGCACATAACAACAACAACAACATACTCTATTACTACAGATGTAAAGCGTTTCTATCATATGCTAAATACATGTTTTCTCCAGGTTTTTTTTTTCCTTCATTTATGTATTGTCATAATTAGAACTGCATCCCCCCCCCCCAAAAAAAAAAATATGTGTCATGATTCCCAGTATTGTGTGGTTGGCCCTCCATTTTGTGATCTGATGTAATTGCCCTATGTGTCATAAATCCTAATCTCTGCTTGTGGATTATTAATGAGGCAGGATTAGGTTATGTTAAAGAGGATTAGGTTATGCTTGTTACATTAATGAGGCAGGATTAGGGTGGGATGCAACACACTTACTCAGGTCACAGCCCAGATCTAAGGGGAGCTTATAGACATAATAGAGAAAAAAGAGCAGAGAGGAAGGAACCTCAGTACCACCAAGAAATAAGAGCCATGAGCAGAGTGCATCCTTTGAAGCTGTTCCTTCTATGCTGTGACAGCAGCACTGGATAGCTAAGGCAGGTACCTTCCTGCGATACCACATTTGTAGCTGTTGGCTGGGTAAGAAAAATCTCACCAATCAGTTTTTCTAAAAAAATATTATTTATTCTTACACGTTTACTTTCCTAGAGACACTTTAAGTCTCAGGCCTCAACTCTGCTAGAAAAAGGAAAATCCCAATGGAGTTTTGATTAGTATTTCATTGAACATAGAAAGCAAATCAGAAATCATTGAACATTGACCACAACTATATAGGGTTAAGCATTGTCTTTGATTAGGAGTTCTGGTGGTATAATACCTAAGGCATTTGACTGCTAACCAGAAGGCTGGCAATTCAAACCCACCAGCCACTCCATGGAAGGAAGGCTGGGTAATCTACTTCCATAAAGATTTATTGTCTCAGAAACCCAAAGAGGGTTGCTATGAGTTGGAATCGACACAATGGCAGTGAGTTGGGTTTTTTTTTTAATTGTCTTCGATTTACAGAGAAGGAAGTTGAGACAGAGAGAAATTAAGTGACTTGCACAAAGGCATAGGACTGCTAAGTAGTGAAGCCAGTATTTGAACTCAAGGATGCAACCCGAAAAAGAGCAAAGAATTCATGCCATTTGAGATATTTTCCCCTAATGGAATAAATTTTTAGAAGACAGCATCTCAGTTGGGGTAATCATCCAGAGAGCTTTGTCTGGCTGCCGGGGCCAACAGAGACTGCATATGTTAAACTGATGTAATGTATTTAATCTGTGAGCAGGAAAAAGGAAGCGTTGGCAGTTTTTCTCCAAAACACCCGTTAACTGGCAAAAAGAAAGCATTAGGGAGAAATGCCAGTTTGGCAGGATATCCTCCAGCCAAAAGGAAATAATAGTAAATGAAGAGCAGTAGAGGTGATCTGGAAACAGACTAATCACTTGCACACTTACACAGCTGCTCCCCTACCTGCTCCTCATCATCCATGGCGTACCAGATTAGAGTCAAACTCTATGCCAGGTGTTTGCTTACACGCACAATAAACCAACAATAGCACCTTCATTTCTGTCGGGAATCTATTTCCAATACTTTCCACTAATCTTTATTACTAACAAGCCCAAATCTCAAACTTTCAACAAGTATTAATTTAAGATGATCTCATCTTTTCTCTTGTTTGGGTTGTCTTTGTGATGGATTAAGTACTCTGTGCCAAGCCAAGTAATAGCAGGAAAGAAAATAGTAAGCTGTCTCAGCATCTGACATGTTTCATGTCCATGTGATGGAATCCTATACATGACAGTTAAAATAGACTGCATTATGGTCCAAAAGGGCAGTCTAATGAGACAGGTTATTGGCTGGTATTTTCAAGAACAACAAATAAAATTATTTTAGGCATACTGGATGTTAAGGAACCAATTTCTATTTAAGGATGACCTTCACCAGTTTTAATTGGCCATGGCCTTAGTGTCCAAAGATTATATAGATTTGTGACTTACAACATGACAAAATGTAAACTTTGATGTATCTAGCATGTATACTACTTTCCCCACCACACTTTCTGTACTTTTCAACCTATTGTCTTGTGCTTAGCAGTTTCTACTGTCTAATCAACATTTTCTCATGAGCACTGACTATTCCAGCCTACCATCATCTATCTTCTCTGCAAGTAATATAGAAGGGGCTTGCTTTTGATCATGGTGGCTAGTCTCCTCAACCATCAATGTAACAAGTTAAATAGTTCCATTGTTGTTGTTATGTGCCATCGAGTTGGACCCGACTCATAGCGACCCCTCCTTGAGTTTCCAAGGCAGTATCACTACGGAAGTAGATTGCCCTATCTTCCTTCCGAGGAATGGCTGGTGGGTTTGAACCACCAGCCTTCTGGTTAGTAGTCAAGTGCCTTAGGCACTATGCTACCAGAGCTCCCAAATAGTTCCATAGTTACCAATAAAGATATTGAGATAGCACAACCATGGTTCACAATGAATGGTGATATAACCAGTTTTTATAACTAAAACATGTATGATATATAATGAGTCTTTACTTTTATCCATAAAGACATCTATTCCAAACATCACTTTAAGTGAAAATCTATATGCTTATGTAGACATAGATTAACAGTAAAGGACTTGTAAAAACCTTTATCAAACTTATGTGCACTTTGTGGAACCAGTGTGCTAATGAAGGGATTAAAGTGCAAAAATACTGATTGTGTGTATATCAAAATGGCTACCAGAACATAGAACTACCCCATAATGCTAGTTTTATAAAAACAAATATTAGACTATTTTACAGTCCAATCTCATAGGTGAAATTTATTCCAACAATGCAAAAAAGAGTTTGTTTAAAACATTTTTTAATCTTCTCCTTTGGGAGCTCTGGTGGCATAGTTAATCTTGAGGATACTTGTGAATGCTTTCAATGGTTTAAAATATATACATGCACCTTTTCATATTTTGTAGACAAGAGTTGCTTATTTGGTAACAGAAGTCATGAGGAGTCAGTGGATGTAATTAGGAATTAAAGAAAAATTTTTGATGACAAATGACATGATATGATTATGAAGTAACTTTAATAAAAAAAAAAAAAAAATTATCTTACAAGCTAACTTTCAAGACTTCCAAAATAGGACATTGTAGAAGTTTTGAACTGGCAGCATTATGATCGAAATATTTTATGTATAAGTTAGACAGTTTTCTTTTATATTCTCATTATGTTATGACTTCTTATTTTATATTCCTTGAGCTAATTTGATGTTAAAATTAGTAGAAAGATATCCATAATCATTTTAAATTTGCATTTACTTCATGATAAACTCAAGAAATTTCAAATCTGTAAGTGGTCAAATGAAGGATCTCAAAGCTACTTAAAAATTAATGTTTCCATATTGCAGAGCACTAGCTGTCACCTGCCCACCCACCCACCCTCTGCCATTGAGTGGATTCTGACTCATAGCAAACCCCACTGGGTTTCCAAGGCTGTAAATCTTTACAGAAGTAGATTGCCTCATCTTCCTCCCAAAGAGTAGCTGGTAGGTTTTACCCATCAGTCTTCTGGTTAGCAGTCAAATGCCTTATCCATTGCACCATCAGAGTTCCTTAGCTGTCACCCAGTTAGTGTTTTACCTATACTAAAGAGTAAAAAAAAAAAAAAAGAAAAAGAAAGAAACCTAAATGGCTATGAAGACTGCTAAATATATGCTTGGATAAGGACTAGAAGAACTCCCAGAGAGAAAACAGTTTGCTCACATATTGTTATCCAAAAGACAGGTGGCATAGTGCCTAAGACATTTGACTGCTGACCAGAAGGCTAGCTGTTCAAACCCACCAGTCACTCCTCAGAAGGAAGACTGGGGAATCAACTTCCATAGAGATACTGCCTTGGAAACTTTTATATGCACTGGGAAACCAAAAAATTCATGTGACTTGCTTTATTGTACTATTTTCTTTATTGAAGTGGTCTGTAACTAAACCTGCAATATCTCTGAGGTATGCCTGTATTTTAAATTTCCCTTATGACTTCTTTAATCCATGAGTTATTTAGCAGTGTGTTTTGTTATCTACAAATATATAGGGGTTTATTTAACTTTTTGTTAAATTATAACTTAATTGCATTGTAGTTAGAGATCACAGAGTTCCTAGATGACAAATTTATTGTTTTTCGAATTTTCCCTACCATTGCTGATATATTTTTTTTTTCCTGTTTGGTCTTTTTTAGTTATAGGAGTATGTTAAAATCTCCCCAGCATACCTCTAGCAAGACTAAGCAAGAGAAGAAAAGAGAAATAATATTATAAATGTAAAGGGGAATATAACTAAAAATAACAAAATAACTATGTGCTAACAATTTTTAAAATTTAGACGATAAAGAAAAGTTTCTAGGAAAAAAAAAGGAGATGTGACTACAGAAGAAATAGAAAGATTCAGTAGTCCCACAACTATTAAAGATATTGAACATGTACACCAATGTTCACTGCAGCATATTCACAATAGTCAAAGGATGATAACAACCTAAGTGTACATCAACAGATGATGAATGGATAACAAAATGTGATATATATATATATAATGGAGTACTGCTTGACCATGAAGAGAAATGGAGTCCCAAACATGCTACAACATAGATCAACCTTGAAAACATTGTTGTTGTTGTGTGCCATCTAGTTGGACCCGACTCATAGCAACCCCTTCTTGGGTTTCCGAGGCAGTATCACTACAGAAGTAGATTGCCCCATCTTCCTTCTGAGGAGTGGCTGGTGGGTTTGAACCGCCAGCCTTCTGGTTAGCAGTCAAGTACCTTAGCCACTATGCTACCAGAGCTCCCACTGAGTGAAATCAAAAGAACAAATATTGTACAGCCCCACTTATATGAAATACCTAGAATAGGCAAGTGAATAATGAGCAAAGTTTATTAATGGTTACCTGGAGTGGGTGGAAGGGAGGAGGAAAGAAGAAGTATGGTGGTTAAGTTGTGTGTCAACTTGGCTGGCCCTGGTTGAGTGGCTGGGCAGCTGGATGTAGTTATTCCCCATGGTGAGACTGGTAATTAACTCCATGGTGGAATCTACTGGAGCAGCTAAGTAGCTGCTTTAGGGATGTGGGCTACTTCCAGTATAGAAGAAGGAACTTTGAGGAAGGTCTCCAGCTTTTTGGCACACTTTCAACCCTGCATGTAGTCAAGTCTTCATTCAGTAGCCTGCCATGCTCTGCCAATTTTGGGACTTTCAATAAACTTGAATTAATGGCCTGCTGTGTGGTTTGGTAACATAAGGTTTGGTAAGGTAAGGACTGTGCCTTTTCATTTGTCAACCTTGGGTTTGTCAGCCTCAGCAGCCAGCAGCTGTCTCAGTGAAGAAAAGCCTCCAGCCTCAGTGGGCCGGGAGCAGGAGGCAGAGATAAAGCCCAAGGCTAAGGGGCTTTGATCCAGCTCCTAGAGCCTGGCACTTTGAACTGAGACTTAAAGCCTCCAAAATTGTAAGAGAATAAACTCTTGTTTGTTCAAGCCATCCCATTTGTGGTATTTCTGTTGGAGTGGTACTAGGTAACCAAAACAAGGAGTCATTACTTAAGGAACACTGAACTTCTGGTAAGGATAATGGAGAAACTTGGAAACTTATAATGGTGATGAATGAACAACATGATAAACATAATGAATCGTATATATAAAGAATGTTGAAATGGGAATTGTTTTGTTACATACATATTTACCACAATAGAAAAAAAAAAATTGAAGCAGTTTTTAAAAATCTTCCACAAAGTAATTAGTTGAGTAGTTATGGAGAGCTATTTTTCTGGAGGTCAAGAGAAAGTTCAGGGCTAATATATCAATAATCATGTTATCAGAGAACATGTGCAATAGGAAAATAACTATGATAAGAATTGTAAAAATAATAATCATAATAATACTTTGGATATGTATTTCAGTAAAAGCTACTGCTGTTATGAAAGGCCCAGCTAGCAAATGGCCCAGCTTGGGCTGTTTTCAAGCTGATATACCAGGAGTATTCTATAAAACAGAGTCTGTTCCTATCAGACCAACCATAAACCACACTGCTCCAGCCCAGATCAGAAGGAAGAACAATTTTGTAGGTGACCTTTATAAAAAACAACCAAACTCACTGCTATCAAGTCAAATCTGACTCATAGCTACCCCTCCTTGGGTTTCTGAGGCAGTATCACTGTGGAAGTAGATTGCCCAACCTTCCTTCCGAGGAGTGGCTGGTGGGTTTGAACCACCAGCCTTCTGGGTAGCAGTCAAATCAACTGTGACATAGAAAATAATAAGGCAATGGAGTGGAAAGGAGGTATTTGAAAATTTTTGAAGGTGTAAAGGAAGTATTACCAAATATTTCTAGATTATTTTGAGTTAAGAAACAAAGGTATCCTACTTTCCACATTTCCAGTATATATTACATATTTTCAAAGCTCATTCCATCTTTATTTTCAATAGGGCTCGCTCATTTCTGCTGGACATCATGTTTAGGACACAGAATGAAGTTCAGCAGCTGAACAGCTGCACGCACACACACAAAAAGCTCGACCCTCTTTCTGCATGTAAATATCTTTCCCTTCACTGGCAGCGTGGCAACAAGTACCCCTGAACCACTTGAACAAACTTCAAAAGGAACTTCAACCACTCACCTGGATACAAGCCAGAGGCTCATTTGTCCAAATTGAATATCCTCCAACTAAATATATTCTCCCATTATGGACAGCAACACCAGATTCATTTTGGCCTAAAGTAAAGAGAATTAAGTATAATTTTTTTTTTAATCCATTCTCCTGCATGTTTTAATTAACCCCTTTGCCACTGAGGGATACGATTTCCTCCTGTGGCACACTTGTATATTCATTGAGATTTCCGCAGCAGTGAATCACTGCCTCCCAGTACTCCCAAAGAACAGTCAACCACTATTTCCCAAAGGAAGAATCTGCGTTGAGTCCAACCAGGCCAAAACACTTATTAGCCAAGTTGGTAAATACAGCATTAAATACAGCAATAATAAATGAGCAATATAGAACTAAGAGTTTGAAACTGTATTATATGCCATTCATTTATAGTGGTGGTAATAGGGTATATTTCAGAAATGAAAAACACCTCCTGTATCTCCAAAAGCTTTTAAGGCAGTGCTTACATTTGTAAAGTATCAGCTGCAACCCCAAGAAGCCAAGAGAATAGCCATGTCCCTAGCTTGCCCCAAATGAAGATAAATGGCAGAAAAGATTGATAAAGTTCCTACCCTTCCTTTCTTTACATACACAACAGTTTTAAGACTGTATTAAAATTCTTGAGCTGGGACCAGCCTGGATAATCCCTAGATATTGACACATGAAAATGATGAAACGCACCCCCTCCCATTTCAAAAAGAAGATAGAATAACTCACTACCACCTATTCTTCCCTGGAGGCCATCAGAGAGTGAGAGCGTCTCTTTTTATTGATGGGCTGACACAGGATTGACTGGGGTTATAAATAAGCTGGATCCTATAGCAGGCAAAACCACAGGGACGGCAAGGGAGGGGTTGGGGAGGAGACTAAGGAAGTACACGGTAACCTGGAGAGAGTTATGTGCTCATAGGCAGGCCTCAAAAATCCTTTTGCAAAACAGGAACTCAACATAAAGCATCTAAGCATCTCACATCAGTTGTGCTCCCAAGGCTGCCTGCCCCCAGCAGCTGCGAGGATCAAGTGCCCACTCAGCATATTAAAATGTCTTCAGAAACTAATCCAAACCACCTTTTTGAGTTTGTGATTTTCCTATTAGTAGAACAGCCTGGAAGGGATCTAATCACTTGCCCATATTAATATAAGCTGGCAAAGGGAGAGAAAGTTTTCAGTTCCATAAAGAAACACCAGGGGTAAACAGTTCCCTGCTTTTCTTTTATTGCCTTTGGTATGCGGGCAAGGTTGAGTGGCCTGGGTTCCATACATGGTGATGCACTGTGGCAATGCTCAGATGGATTATGTGTGACCAGAAATGCTGTGAATACCTGTGCATAGAGCCACTCTGAGGTTTAGTTTTTAGGAGAATACAGTCAGAAACAATACTGAACACTGACAAATAGGAAGACCCATTTCCTAAACTTCTGAACTCATAGGAAATGAAACAGGACTAAAAGCACTGAGAAGTCAAAACTACATTGCTTCTGTAAACGGTTATTAACTCCTTCAGCCTCTGATTCCTCCTGTTGGTATTAAAGTTCCTATGTGAATACTGATCAATGATAACAGCCTTTTCTTAGTCACATGTGAACATGCACAAAAGGTATTACAGGCCCTGAGAAACACTAGCTGCTCAGACACCTGAATGAGTCATGTTGCTATGGGATAATTAGTGCATATCTTTCTGGTTAATAAAGGCAAATTGTTTTATCACCATCCAGTTACCATCCAGTTGATTCTGACTCCTGGCAACCCTGTATGTTTCAAAGTAGGACTGCGCTCTCTGAGTTTTCAATGGCGAACTTTTTGGAAGCGGGTCACCAGCTCTTTCTCGTGAGGCAACTCTTGGTGGCCTCTAACCTCCAACCTTTCGGTTAGTGGCCAAGCACAATAACCATTTGCACAACCCAGAGACTCCTTTATCACCATAGACTTCATATTTAGAGATTCGCTAAAGAAGAACACATCTGAGAAAATAAGTTTGGCAAGTTCTTGAATCTCTGCTTTTCCCAATTTATTTAATAAAAGGTACTTGCCAGTCAACAGGTTGAAATTACAGCGTGTCCACTGGTCAGTGTCTATGTTATAAGAATCTATATGTCGCACAAGGATCCGGTCATTATTGTAGTCTAGGTCATTGCCTCCAAGAACGTAAAGCTTCCTTTGGACAGCAGCCATGGAATGGTAAACCCGTCTTTGCAGCATAGGGCTGCGGCTTATCCACTTATTCTGAAAAAGGAAATTAAGGTGAATTCTATCAGAAGGGAAACTCCACGAAGAAAATAGCAGTGGACAACTCATTGGTATAGGAGATCTTAATGTTTACCAATTAAATATTCTATTTGAATGCTGATTATATTCATTGAAAAGTATCAACTTCTTATATGAAGTCGTGCAGGAGAACCACATATTCCAACTCTATTTTGCAATTTACTAAAAGGCATTTCCTCTTGTTTGGGTTACATTTTATAGAATAGTTTGCATTTTATAAGAGGAACATATGAGAATATAGAAATTTGCATAGTGGCTATCTCACAATTCAGAGATCTTATTCATGCAAATTACCTAAGAGTAAAAACCCATAAATAGCTATACCATGTACAATGGTGTAGTAATTAAGAAAGCAGCCTTTGGATCCAGAATGCCTAGGTTTATAGCCTATGTGTGGCCTTGAGCAATTTACTTAACCCCTCGGTGCCTGTTTCCTCATCTTTAAGATGGGAATAATACCTACCTGAGTGGGCTATAGTGAAGACTAAATGAGAAAACACACATAATTTATTTGGAATAATGCCTAGCACATAATAAATCAATAATAAATGTTTTAAAAAGCTATTATGATGCTAATCACTGGCTATCCAAGGCTATCCTAAACAAGGTAGGGTGAGTTGGCTCTGTGTTTTTTCCAAAATTGACCTCATGTGGTCAGTAGAAGAGCTAAGATTTGGTTCAGTAACAAACCTCTCAAACTATATTAGTATCACAACCTCCTTCAACATATTTACAATCACATCTTATGGAAAATTGGGTAAAGTGATTTCTAGAGACACATTTGTTTTGATAGAAGTCTGTTTCATATGAGAACTTTAGGGAATGGTATACCTCCAATATTTGGTCCTAGGCCACTCTGAATAATGAGAAGGGCAAGCTCAACCCACCTTGAAATATGCCTCCTATTTAAAATGAAACATAAAATGCAAATTTTGATGAAAATCTACTATGACTTTAATTGGCATAGTGCCTAAGGTATTTGACTGCTAACCAGAAGGTTGGCGGGTCAAACCCACCAGCTACTCCACGGAAGGAAGACCGGGCAATCTACATCCGTAAAGATTTACTACCTCAGAAACCCAGAGGGAGTTGCTATGAGCTGGAATTGACTTGATGGCAGTGAGTTTGGTTTCGTTTTTGGAAGTAACCGACAAGTAAACAAACCTAACCATTTCCTTTCTACATAGACACTAAGCATACAGAAAGAACCCAGATGCCATTTTGCCATAAAAACTTTGGATTTCATCCAGAAAAATTGTATGTTCTGAATAAATAGAATTTCACCAGTTCACAAAGTTTTAGAGAAAGAAGCCAAAAACCCACGTGTCCTATAAATACTACTTCATCCACTCTAGGCATATCTACTGGCTTGTTTCTAATTTCTCTTGTAAAGATACATCCGCAAAAAGAAAGTGGTTTGTACAATCTGAAAGGCTTTGATGTATCTGCTTCTCTTTTTTGAACATGTCATAATAAGAACTACCTTCCAATCAATTATCTTCTTTAATAAAATAGCCAAGCCTTGCTTTCAGATGTTTTGCTAAGAAATACTGTTCATTTGTTACACATGAATGAATTTAACTCAAAACTATGATGACACTTTCTTTAGGTGTTTTCTATGAGGTAACCCAGTATAGTATTGGGAATCAATGTTTACATTAGTGTCCGTTCCCTTGCCACGGACTATGGATGCCATCTGGTTTGCAAAGCCTGCCTGCATCCCCTGATTATATCTTTAGCTTCCTTCACTGCAGTGCCTACCAGGTGACCCGCCAACCACTGCAAAGGCAAAGAAACAGAGAGACCTGGTGGGGTCGTTCCTAATAAGCTAGCGTGTGAATACTAATCAGTGGTGGGGAAGCAGAGGTCACTGCAGTCTGCCTGTTGGCAGGTAGTGATGTGCTCTGTGGCAGATGGCAGGCATTATCGACTCTCCACAAAGGCCGAAAAGAGAAATAAGCACCAGGGCTGAATGATAGAGTTATTGAAATTCTGAGCAAGAAGCAAGCAGATGTGATGTTTGCTAGTACCCACCGTAAACAATATGCCAGCAGAATTTTTAAAAAGATCATATGTGTACAAACATGAAACAGAACTCACTCGAGAAAACGTTAACACCTTCCTCCTTTTAACCACATGTGCACCAAGCTTGAGCAACTGCAATTAATGATCCCTCTTGGGACAGCTGACCCTTGGCTATGTGGTCCCTGACATCTACAGCTTCTAACAACACCAGGAAAAACATTTGCAAAGGGAGAAATGCTTTCTTTAATTCTGAATCAAGTAACTGTTAAACAAAAAAGATACCAAATAGACTAAGGTCATTCTTGGCACGTATTTGGTGGCTAATCCTGACTCGGACTATCAAAGACAACTTGTTGTTTCATGTCCCACCATGTCAGCTGATGAATATTAAACTCCTCAAGTCAAGCCATTTTGGAACATTTTCAAAATCATTAAAAATATTTACATTGCCAAAATCATAGCAATAGCAAAATTCAGTAGACATTTGCCAAGGTCACTGATGTTTTGGAGAAAGAAAGAAGATTTAAAAATATTTCTCCTTTTGGGGGAAAAAAAATATTAAATGTTCATGAGAAGTTGACCAAAAAAAGGGGCATCTTCATAATGGTTCCCGTGCAGGCCCCAGCTGTTAGGTGAAAACTTCCTCAAACTCTTCAGACACTTCTACTTGGACTTCTCCTATGTGCTGCTCTACACTTGGGAATAAGGAAACCCTGAGCATGTTCCCCTTCAAGAATGACACACCCTCTAGAAGGACATAGCAACAGGACAATCAAAATCATTTCTTCAAAGGCTTCTATACATGAATAGCCATTTGAAGTATGCGGATGAAGGGCATTTAAACTCATCAATGTATTTTCCCTTGTTTTCTACATCAGGTAAAACTCTGAAAGACTTAATTAACATTGTGTTAAGCATAAAACTAGAGGAGCTGAAATTTTGCAGGTTAAAAAAAAAAAAACAACAACCATAAACCAATTTATCCAGATGCTTCCTTTTCTCTATAGACACTTAAGATGCATTTGCACTACGTATGGACGTGGTATTCCAATGACTAATTACTGTGGAAATCTTTTAAAATTCATTTTAATTAAAGTGATGAGCTTTTCTTATATGATTCTTACCTGGTTAGGTTCATATACCATTAGTCTGTTCTGATATTGTGCCGTGTTAGTTACTCCACCTGTAATGGATGAACATGTGTTAAAGCTTCTCATGAATAAGAAATAGGATATTTCCACCCAAGAATGACTTCCGTAGTGATACTGCCTCGGAAACCCAGGGAGGGGTCACCATGAGTCAGGTCCGACTCGATGGCACATAACAACAACAACAACAACATAAGAATGAGATACAGTTAAAGGAAAATTAGCTACTGCTGAGGAGCTGTTTGTCTACCCTCCTGGTGAACCTATGATGTAATTAAGCTTACTGTTAAAACGGTTTTATTTTCAAGAAACATGTCAGAAGCAATCCATTTGAGAGCAAGCAACAAGTATGAAGAGATTACTAAGAAGCTCCAATTCTGGCAAAGTGATCTGCAGGGTCAGAGAGACAAAATATAGGGACAAAAGGAGGGGTCAGTTGGGGACCCAATATATACAGACAAGTCTCTATACAGTTTTTGCCAGTGACGTAGGTATGTGGAAAATTCTTGTCCTCATCTAATTTGTCAGTTTTACAGCTCTAGCCTTCTGTACACTAACCCTGTGATAGACAGCTTGATATCTTCTTGGAAGTGCCATATCTAAGAAAAGGTATTACTTATCAAATGGAATCTAGAGCAGTGATGCCTGATAGAAGATAACAAGAGCCACAAATACAAGTCACATATGTACTTTCCAGTAGGTACATTAAAAGGCAAAACAGTAAAATTAAATAATAATACATTTTATTTAACTCAGTATTGCCAAAATAGTATCATTCAACATGAAATCAATATTAAAAATATTTTAGATATCTTGTATTCTATTTTCTATAGTAAATTTCTGAAATCCAGTGTGTATTTGAGATGGGCGTATCTCAATCCAGTTTAGCCACATTTCAAGTTCTCAGTAAACCACAGTATGGCCACCATATTGGACAGCACAGATTGAGAGTTCTCCAGTGCAGTTGTTATTGTAGTCAATGTTGGTTAAGCCTTCTTGACAATTGCTTAGATCTGAGAAACTTAAGACCTTCAGCTTAGCCTAGACCACTCACCTGTGCTCATACTTCTTTTCATGTTTGGTTTTACTGAGAACTATAAAATCTAGAAATTATTCATTGTACTTTAATTTTTACCATCAGATGGAAAAAACCGTTT